GGTTCAAGGTCGATTTAAATTTTAAATTTTTAAAAGGTATATTTTAAATTTTAAACAATTAAAGTTGGGGCAATTTAACTCCTATCAATATGTTTAAACAATTGTCCATCAAATTGATGTCTAATGTGCGATTTTCACCAAATGAGGGTATGAAAGAAAGAAAGATTAAAATTTGATAAAAATCACATAGTAGGCCCCAATTTTAAAAAAAAATAATGAACGTTTGTTGAAAGTTAACAGTAAGGGCAAAATTATCCAACTTAAATTATTTAAAGTTAAAATGTACATTTTAAAAGTTCAGAGTTTAAATTGTCTCTAAACCTATAGTTCAGATTCAATTGCATAGTAACCTAATTATTTATGCCAATTTGACAATTTAGAAGAGTTTTATTTGTTGAATTCTGAATGTCAAAAAAAAAAATCATCTACAATCTCTCCATTCATTATTATAAGACATTTTTAATAAAATTATACCCAAATGAATTAATTAATTATCTTTAAAATTACAGACCTTTTTCATGTCTACCCTTATGTAATAAGTTGTACCAATATTTAAAAAATCTTATTAATTACAGCTTTTAATTAAGGATATTTTTAGAAAAAATTTATTAATTGTATCTTAATAAAAGACTCAAAATGCTTTATATTTTTTAATATATAATACCTCATAAAAAATTGCTTATATTTTTTTAATAAAGAAAGTACATTAACTTGCAATCAGCATGTCATTTAGAGCTATAAATAACTTTATTTTTGTTTAATAATAACGTATTTAATAAGTTTGCTTTCGTACTTACGTGATTATTCTAGTCATTGACTTAGCTTGCTGTTATTTAATTGAGGAGCTAAATCTTCTTAAGAATTAATGCTTTACCAGCCAAATCCTAGTTTCTTCTCATCGCACTGTCATGTATGTAATCAAGGCAACTATGTACAGTGAACCGTACTAATGTTATAAATTTGGGCATACGTAATCTTTGGTTAATCCAACACAAAAATTAACATATTCCATCTGAGATTAACGATTCCAACACATAAATATCAACTTGATTTTTTTTATAACATCGGGAATAAAAATGATACTAATGAAATAATGAAGTGGACAAGGAGGGAGATAAATAGGTTAATGGAGAACAAGAGGCTAAAAAAAATCTAGGGTTTGTCTAGTGAGTGAAGGGCAGGAACCATGCCTTGTCACAAGCTTTTCACGTGCTTGTATGGCTGTCCTCTTTAATTTGTGCATTACAGCTTTAAGGTTTTAAAATAATGGATTCAAAGGTTATGTAGGAAAAGCCAGAAAGGAACATGGTTGAGACAATGTTGATAATAAATAGTATTTTAGGTTTTATGTCTCTTTCAGTTACGTGCACACACACATATATATACATGCATGTACACACACTTCTCTTTATGTAGTTTTGTGTTGGATCAATGAATGAATGGCTTATAGTGCTTGGTCCCCCTTTGAACCCATAATGAAAATCACATTTAAAACATCATGCCCATCATCTAATCAATCTAGGGCTTTCATGTTCAAAAAGAAATCCAATAGTTTACCTAAAAAAATCCGAATTCTTTTTTCTTTATATGATTATTTGTATCAAGTTAAATTATTGGGCTCAATCAAAAGTAACCCTCTTACAAAAGAAAAATCTCTCTCCTTTTAAAATGATGTAACTTTAATTTTTAATTAAAAACTTTTAAATAGGTCCTCAAATTTATCAATTAGAGGATAGGCTTTACAACTCAAATTGTGCGGGCGCTAAAACTTTAGTAAAATTAAGGAGAAAATATTAAAGGATCAAAAATTGAATTAAATTTAAATAAGGATCAATGATCCTTTAGTAAATTAGTATAAAAATCTATTAATTTCATTTCATGATTTGCAACCCTTAAAACGATGTAAGTAAGATTTAATAATTTATAAAAAAACTTATCAAATATATCATTCCTTGGTAATTCGTTTTCTTTCATAAAAAAATATCATACTTGCAACGTGCTTTTAGGGTTACACGTGTATATGAGTTAGCAGATCACTAGAAATTATGATACGGTTGACAAGTTTTTCTTTACAAATTTGAGAATTTCACTAGCAAATTTTTATTTTAATGGTGGAAAATTATGAAATCAGAGGGAAAAAAATTAGACTAATTTATGAAAGAATTTTTTATCCTTATTTTAAATTTTCAACTCTTTTAGTCTTTCTATTCTTTTTTTTTTTGGTAATTTAATGTTATTCCCCCAAAATTAAAAAGAGATATTATATTATTCTCTCCAATAAATTTCTTGCTTTATTAATCTACCATCCATTTTATTTAATCAGTACTCTTACTATAAAACCAAATGAATCAATTCCACTCAAGAAAAATATAGGCTAAAACATTCCACCTTACTGTGTTTAATTTCCTGAAAGAAAAATGAAGAACCAAATCAATTCGTGATTTGATTATATTTAAATGCTTTGAAATAATAGAAGCACAAAGTTTGCATTTAATTAATGAAGACATAGAGCATTAAGGAAACATGTATCAGAAAGAAAAAGAGACACATAGAATCTGCTATCCCAAGTGTTAAAAGAGTGAAGCACAAGAGAAAACATGTGGGATTCTGTACTTGAATTTGCCTTTATTATTTGTTTTTTCTTACAAAATATGAGTCCTTATATTTTAACAATTAATAGGTTAGATTTAAAGAATTTTCTTGATCAGAGTTACCTCGGCCTCTGCTTCCAATTAGGCCTGCAATAGTTTTGGATTTTTACCTAACATCTTTTTGGGAATTTAAGAAGCCACAGGTCTTCGGGGCTGAAAAGAATAAAGCAGACAAAAATTAAAGGTAATAAAAAATTGATTTAGTTATACTAGTAAACTTTCAATTTAATTATAATTTGAAGTTTTAATTGAAACATATTTCTCACAACTATGGAACAATCTTTCTCATACTTTTGATAAGTCAATACTTCTAAATTTGAAAACTTGTATAGATACTTTTTTTTTTGTTAGTTAGCAATATATTTCCTAAAAATTTATTTGTCATACTTTTGTGTATCTTGAATTTACAATTATATGAAAATATCTTATTTTTTTCAAATTTGTCATGTAAATAAATTTCTAACATGTCCCTTTATGTCAAATTATAAGATAAGATTATACATATTAATAAAAATTAATGATAATACTTTATAAGCTTTCTTTTTCTAAATAAAAAATAGACTTATAAATTTACACAATTGAGTAATCATTTGATTACAATCATTTCAATTTTTTGTTCACTTTGAATGGAGATAGTAAAAAACATAATTAATAAAATTTTATTTTTATTTAATTATCTTATATTTTGAAATAATAAAATAATTTTAAATTTTATATGAACGGAGTATTACAGTGAGGAACTGATTAAAACTGAATGCTCAAAAAGTTATCTATGGAAATAAATATAGTTTGAGAGGATTATACACAATGAATCAAATATAAATTATGATATTTTTTCTCTCTCACTGAGCTCATTGATGTGAAATGGACCATGGAGCCTGAACCATGGTTTCATTGATAGGTGTCCTTAGAGATAAACCCTTTTCTGACACGTTTGTCTTTGTGTATATATCCCCATCTCTCCAGTCACATGCTCCTCTTTTGACCATTAGCCTGCCATTACATTTCAGGTACACTCATTATCTACCGGTAGCTGTAGCTATATCAAAACTTTAAAAGGTGTGCATTTGTTAGTTTTTCACAATAGCTCTTGATAAACAACTAAACAAGTAGAATTCCAATTGGCAAAAAAAAAAAATTAATGTATTAATAGATACATTTTCCCTACTAGACATGGGAGATATAATAATTTAAAATATTTTTAAAACGCTTATATTTAATTTTAACACTTAAATATTATTATATAGACAAATTTCAAAGAATAGGGAAAAAATTGGAAAGAATCTAGGAAAGTGATGGAAGAAAGTTAAATATATAAGAAAAGGTTGCATAAGTTCGACTGCAATGTTAATAATTTATTCCCATAAATTTATGTATGCATGTTACATTAATATACTAAAATTTGTTCACAAAGTTTAAGATAGAGCTCATGACAAAAAATTATGGATGTCTATAATTAATCACTTGTTACTGCTAATATATAAATAAAAGTGACAAGAAATTACGGTATAAAATTTAAAATATGTAAAAATTATAAACCGTGTGATATATTTTAGACTATATGCTAATGCATAATTTTACCCTAATTAATTTTTGAACATCAAGCATTCCAAGCAATTAATTGCTTAAGATAAATTACTAAATAAAGTTAGCTTGAGTAATAGAGATTCTCACTACTTAAATAAGTAGTTGAAAATTCAGATCACATTTCATGTATATGTATGTAGCTATTTAAATAGTTGGGAGATACATATCCCTTGCTTTTAATATCTTGGGAGAGATAATACAAAAAAAAAATTACTTGAGATAAATTTAGGAACCAATTACATCTGGAGAATACCAAAATTGTAATTTAATTTTCAGATACAAGAAGAAACTGACATGGGCGTCAAATAATGGGAAGCCCATAGTCATGGAACAAGACAAGGAAACTTCTCTTTTCATCTCTTGGGCTTATTAACCTAATTATTAGTTCTTTATTAGTTATTCACAGCCACGAATTCATGGAAAGCTCAAATATCTAAGCAACCTTGGCACTCTCATTAACATTATTATTCATCACTTGGTTTATTCAATGGCCGACAGCTTATCTCTCCCTTTGATTCTGCATAATTCTTGGTCTGAGAGAAGCATGGAAACCCAAATGGGGCCAACACTGACATTTTGTCCGGTACAAGAATTTTAAAACCTTTGAAGGAAAAGAAATTAATTTAAAGTCCATCAATTAATTATGAGAAGAGATAATATCATAATATTGAAGCACCACATGTTGAGCTCAGATATAATCGGAAAACCTAACTGCAATAAATTTAACAAGAAAATGACGAAAAGAGGCACACCGAGTGTGCTCTATAAAAGCCTCTCATAGCATTATCTGAAACATTGCTTCAGAGTTCCAAGGCACGCACACGAACGCTTCTCTTAATTATCTCTCTCTGTCTTTGTCGTCTCTCTCAGTAGTCTCAGCGTGTTCAGAGGGTTCAAACAGAAAACACAGAGCAGGAAGAAGAAAGAGTAGGGTTTGGTGGTCTTCACTCTTCAGGTCTATACAACATTACACATACACATATATATACATAGGGGGAGAGAGAGAGAGATGAACAGTGGAAGCAGAGTGAGACCAGGTTCAAAGAAGAAGGTATCATCATGCAGAAGGCTTGGAGGGTACCTGAGAGAGCAGAAAGGAAGGCTATACATTATCAGAAGATGCGTCGTCATGCTTCTCTGCTGGCATGACTGATCATGAAAAGCAAAATGTTTCTTTGACTTAATTTCTTTTATATGTGAATAGCAGATCGAAAAGCAATGTTTAAGGATGATTACTTTAGTTTCCTCAAGCTTTTTAATTAATTACTTGTTTTCTCCCATGGAAAAAGCCTTTTAGTTAGTATTGAGAGTTCTTTAGTTTAATTTCCATTATTATATCTTCTGCAGAAGGATTCGATACTGTTACTGATTTTTCTTTATTTCTTCGTCATCTCCAACACTTTCATTAGTATTAATAATCTGCATTTGGTTTTCATAAAAAAAAAATGATCTTTTTTTGGTATGGTACAATAGTACAACAACTATACGATCCCAGTTTTACCCATCATTTGCAGATTCCAGAAGAAATAAATATCCATTTAAAACATTGGATTCTTCTTTAGTGTAGTTAATCAGGACTAGTTATGAAGAATCCATTTATTTATTCGAACCGTGATTGATGTTTAATTAAGTGTCTCAACAAAAAGTTAAAAATAATTGATACTTTGATCTGTTATCAATAAAACAATTATATTCGTTATTAAAAATTAGTTATGATAAAAAAGGAAATATGAGTATAGTTTAATTTAATTGTCATTTCTCTTTTCACAGGACTTGGAGGGATAAAGTTTATTGTGTTTATCATTAATTGATGGTTAAATGAGTCAGCAGCGGAAATAAATTGACCAAAAGAAAAGGTTAATAATTAGTAGATAACGACTGAGTGATAAGAATGAAGCAGGAATAAAATTCAAAGGGGTAGCGATTATTATGAGTAAAACTGGGAATTTAGATCACGCTGTGAGAAACTAACATATTTCATTAAACCCAACCTTCGAATACAAGTTTAGCTTGGACTTATTTAAACTTACCTGAACAAACTTGAATATACAGAACTCATATAAGCAATGACGACCTGAATAATTCAGGCTTTTAGGTCGGCCCAATTGTTAGGGTCTTTTTCTTTTTGTTTTGAAAATATTACCTTAACTTTCGTCTTCAAAAAATTAAAGGGAGAATTATTTGAGATCTCTCTCACAATAAATTTAAATACTACAAGATCCAATAATTGTCATTTTATTTTATTAAATTGTCAATCAATTTGGTAGTATTTAAATATATTCTAGAGGATTTCTGTGCAATTGTCCCAAAATTAAAGTCAAAACTACTAGACTAGGCTTAACATTTTTGGATTTAGATTGACCGAATTACCGATGGTGCTGATGAGTATGAGAAGAGTGAAGGTGTCTTGTAGCGTAGGCTCTATGTGTTGGGAGTCTTGTCAACTCAGTTTGATTTATTTTGTGTTTGAAAAACTCAAGGGATCACATGCATGTCTGGGCACTCCCACATGAAATCAAAAAGAGGAATACAGTCAGTGTTGAGAATAATTTCAAAAACTAAAGCTGGCAGCTACCACACTGCTTTGATTCAACATTTCAACTAACTCTTTTGATTATTGTATATATGGTCAACAAAACTACCTCCCTGCACGCGGTTGATATAATCCTATGGCAGCTTGGGGGCATTTTTTTTTTTTAAAGGATATCTCTTGCTAAAAATTAATTAATTGCTGCTATATATATTCATGACTCGAGCTAGACCTATGGTTAAATTCATGAATCAATCTCCTTAATTGATTTAAGTGTCCAACAGTAAGCATTAATAACTTTTTGTTATAAACGCCAAATGCTTTTAATTAAACATTTGTTGTGTACTGTTTGGGCATCCATTTATTGGTCTAAAATTGGGAAATGTTCATTGGAATTAAAAATTAATCCGGTTAGTAAGAAAATATAAGGAGAATATTATTGAAGTACCCATGAAAGAATTTAATATTTGACAAGTACTCTCTCTATTTCTTAAACATAGGAAAACTATTATTATTTTTATAAACAAAATCACATATATTAATAAGTATTTATTATAATTTTCTTAAATTACCTCTCATAAAATCCATCATTTTTATTCACAAGACAACCAGTGAATGCATCCTCATTTTGATTAGCATGGCTATTTTAGTCATTTTTCTAATTTACAAACACAATTATTATAGTAAATTAATTTTCTTAAATTGTGTGATACAATTATTTTTTCTTATATATAAAAACAGAAAGAGTAAACATTAACAATTAATAATTGAAATTCAAGTTTTAATAAGTATCTGATATGTTTGAGTCTTTATCAAATATTAATTTTTTTCATGAGTTCTTCATTAATATTTTGCGAAGAATATTCATAACTCCTAAAGGTGATGTAAATCTTGCATGCAATGTGGGTAATTTATCTTTAAGCGCTTTTTTCTGACCCAAAAAAAAAATATTTAAGCGCTTTTTTTTATCCGTGAAATCTCTCCTGGTAATTATTTGAAACTCAACTTTCTAATTAAACTATTTCAACTAATAAAGATTGATTTAGTTGATATAAAATTGTCCTATACTCCTTCCAGACCACAATAAAAAATATTTTTTTAAAAGCCCTGCTTGATTCAAAGTATAGAATATTAGGTAGCTTTTATAATTATTTTTTACACTATATTCTTACTTCATTTATTGTTCTTTTCACAAAAAAAAGATGCATTGAAGAATTTTAATTATCATTATTAAAGCACTTATATAAAATATTTAATAAGGATAAAATTAAAAACATATAAATTTTTTTAAGAAATTAAGACTTCAACTGACTTTTGTTGCAAAAAGTTAAATTAATTATCAATGTCTTATATTTTGGTCTAACTATTTTGTAAGGAGGCATGCATACACACATATATATTTGTGGGTGTGTTCTATTATTGTCGTGAAAATTTTTATTGATTCATAATCCGCAGTATTGTAAGGTACTAAGGCCAATGACAACTCTGATAAAGCTGGAAAACCCAATTTTTATACTATTTATGGATATATTATAAATAATACATTTCATTTTTTATAAAAATAATTTTAGGTGAGTTAGCTATTTAATAATTCATCATTACATAAGAATAAATATAAAATATTTTTAACTTTTCAACGTCTAATTAATGAAGTTTTTTAAAATATAGCTAATGAATAAATCATTTAATCATTCACCTTCAAATAATATACCTTATCAAATAAAGATAAATATGAAAAATAGTAGGGTTAATTTAAAGATGATTAACTATTCTATTTATAAAATAAAAAAAATTAATCACATTTATAAGTTGTATTATTAAATTTTGTCACAATTTCTTCTTATATTTTTTATTGAATGTTGGAGAGAAAAAAATATACTATTAAAATATGTACTACTTTCATTCAAAAATGTAAGGTATTTTTTAAAGAGTTTGATATTCAAAAATATAAAGTATTTTTAATTTTTTGAGATGCAGTCATTGCTTTTTTTTTTAAAAGTGCCCTTATTGATAGTAATTTTATATTTATTATAGGATATTTAATAGGGATAAATATGAAAAGATATGGTTAGTTTGAATATAGATAACTACTTTATTGAGGGTGAAATTCGATTAAAAATGCTTTATATTTTTGAATGGAGGGAGTATATGTAATGAGAATGAAGTTAAAAATTTATCAAATTTTTATAAAGAGTTAATAAATTTTAAGATATTTTATGATTTCAGTAAAAGAGTAAAATAGAGGTATAACTTATTAAAAGATAAATAATTTGATTAAAAATAATGTTAAAGGAAGGAAGGAATGTACTTTCTCAAACATTTTTTACAGAGTTGGAACTTGAAAAAATATAAAGAATTTTTAGTATTTTAAGTCATTATTTTTTTAAATCTCTCTATTGAATAAATTACTTTATATTTATTTTAGAGTAAAAATTTTATTAAATAAAGGTAAATATGAAAAAATAAAATTAATTTAAAGACAAGTAATAATTTTATTAAAAAGTGAGATTTGATTATATTTTTGAACGACAAAATATAAACTTAGATGTTTAGAGATACTCCCTCCGTCTTTGTGTAAGACATTTTTAATTAAATTACATAAATTAATAAAAATTAGTTATCTAATTAAAAATACAATAATATTCTAATTTTGCTTCTAACTATTGTACATAAAAAATAAATTCCCTTTTCCAAAATAAATTAATGAGTATTTATTTTTTTAATTTAACAAGGATATAATGGTTCATTTATTAAAAAATATGTTAACAATTATTTATACTCCCTCAGTCTCAAATTATAAAAAAATTTTGAAAAAATTTTTCTATTTTAAAATATAAGATACTTTGAATAGATTAAGGTTTTATTAAATACATCAACTTTAATATCATACTTTCTCTCTATATAATTAATTTTTATTAATTTTTTTAATATATTAAATGTTGAATATTTTGATAAGTTTATATTTATGTTTTGAAAAAATAAAATTATTAAGTACATTTAATAAAATTTATTAATATATAAAATTTTATTTAAAAATATTTTATAATTTAAGATGGAAGAAATATTAAGAGATTAAATTTTTTTTTTTAAGATATAAAAAGGGAGAGAGTAATGATGAGGAATTTTACCTTGCTTTTGCACTTGATGATGTGTAATAAAGATGTTTAGAAAATGAAAAAGTTGTTGAGGGGTCAAAATGGCAGCTTTATGGTGCCCACGTGCGCACGTTAACGTATCCTCCTCACTCATCCATTCCAAAACTCAATAGTGGGGACCACACCCCTTTTGAAATAACGAGGGGGGGTTTCTCTTGGATACTTTTTCTTTTTATTATTTCTCAGTTATAAATTTGAATTGTTAAAATTAAATTTATAATTTTAAAATTTATTAAATTTAAACTATTAAATTCAATTTAACAATTTAGATCTATAATGATCTCTCTCTCGCCCTCATCAACAAATCATGGAAGCCAACTTCATTTCAATTCTTCCTTGTTTGGCTTCTTCATCATGAACTGGGCCCCATCCTCTCCTCATCTCAATCCTTAATCCCTTCATTTTGTCGTTATGCTATCAACATTTCTTGAATCTTTCACAAAAGGCCCCATTAAAAAATTAGTGGCTAATTTTGTTCCTCAATTTTATTTAAAAAGTTATTAAATACTCTAAACTCAATTAAAATTAATTATATCTCTCAATATTTGAAATTTTCTTCCTTATACATTAAAAAAGCTTGATATCTATTTATCATGAGCGAGTCCCACCATTTTTTCTAACAGTGAAAAAACAATATAAAACCACAAGATAATGAGGAAAAAGATTT